AAATTCGACTATATGGGAATTTGTATCAGCGCCCTTGGGATCGAAGACGAGATCACTAACCGTATAGAAAAAGCTCGAAGTGCTTTTGCTAACCTTCGCCACCTATGGCGGCGGCGCGACATCACTCTCGCCCTGAAGGGTAGAGTGTACAATGCAGCGGTACCTTCGACCCTACTGTACGGTTCCGAAACCTGGCCTCTAAGATCGGCGGACATGAACAAGCTAGTTACCTTCTACTAACGGTGCCTTCGCAGTTTGGTTCACATCTGGTGGGAACACCGCGTGAGTAACGAGCGTGTTTGACGCATTGTTTACGGCCCAGGGAAAGGATCTGAACCGCTCAGCACCATTATTTCACACACCAGGCTCCGATGGCTCGGCCACGTGTTACGCATGCCAGCCCACCGACTCCCGCGCCGTGCGTTGTTTGCGAGCCGGGGATGTGGGTGGAAGAAGAGGAGAGGTGGCCAAACGATGACTTGGTCCAGGGGAATGAAGTCCCTCACTTCGGAGCTAGCCTCAGTTGGAGCGTCTCGGCTCACTGGTTGGGGTCCGAAAGACAGCGAGCACGTTTGGCTGGATACACTTGCTAACTTGGCAAGGAGCCGATCTCAGTGGCGTTCCTGCTGTGAGTTTCTTTGTCCCCCCCCCCATCCTTTTTAGTCTCCCCCTCCATCTGCGATCTCATTTCCTAGGGTAAAACATAATATTAAAAAGAAATTTTCTTTTTGCCTAGTAGCTGGCTGGAAGCTTACCGGAGGGATGCCTATCCGTTGCTGGTAGCTCAGCTGGCAGGCAACTGTTGCATCTATTTTTCCTTTGTGTATTGTATTATATGTACGTATGTATGTATTTCCTTCATGTATTGCGTCACAATAGCGGAGGTGTTTTCCCACCTCTGGCTGGTGTGTATAATGATGATGATGATGATGATGTCGGTTAGCACAGTTTGCTGCTCCTACAGTTTCACTAGTAACTCGTATAAATCATCCAAAAGAGCAGGTCCCCCGAATTTGAAGAGGGCTGGAGGTAGATCATCTTGTCCCGTTGCTTTATTTAACTTCAACAGTGCGATCTCACGTTCGACTTCTGAATGAGAGAGTAGATCCAAAGTCTACAGAAACTTCCAGGATCTGGCTCACACCTAATACACTCCGTGCGAACCCACCACAGATGCACAAACTGTCCTTTTGGGCGACTTCAATGCCCCCGGCAAAATCTGGAACCGCCTTCACAGTGACCTCCCACCGGACTTCTTTGAATATGGTCTCCATGGTAAAATCGACGAGTTCAACCTGACACAACATGTCTCGATACCAACACAGATGGTCCCGAGCCAAACACCAAACAGCATAGATCTCGTTTTTACTCCGACCCCATCTGATGTTGCTGATCTACCGGTCCTCCAACCTCTTGAGAAGAGTGATCACTGTACAGTCTCCTTTTGAGGGACATGACACCTCACAATCCACGATCAGGGGACACTGCGTCGAAATTGCTGGCGCATTGACCAGCTCAGATTAAGAACGGCTGCAAACGACATGGACTGGGGTATTCCGCAATCCTTGAACCTTGATGGCGCATGGGAACGTCTACGACCTATGATGCTGCTTATCGAACAGATTGTTCCAAATTATAGGGGCAGACCACCATCAAAAACCCCCTTGGATTGATAAGAATAAAACGACGGAAACTATGGGACTATTTCAAAGTCACAGGACTGACATCGAGCTACTCGGAGTACAATGCTGTCAGCAACTTATGCACCCTGAAATAACGAGACAGACAACCACAATACGAAGATGGACTGGCCACGGAATCCCAAACCTGTTCCAACATACTGTTTGTCTACCTACAGCAAAGTACCAAAACGAGTAGTGGAATCCCGCGCCATTCTCCATTAAGCAAGTCACGGTACTCTAGGACAATGATGAAAAAACAAACCTACCGGCTACGCAGTATTCATGGGTCTACTCAGTGGAAACCCCGCTGTTCAGCAACTGTTTGTCTGCACACTACTTTTCTATGGAGCAAGTCGAAATCAACCCCGAGGTTGTCAGGAAGCTACTCCAAGTGGACCCGAAATACTCCCCAGGCCCAGACGGATTGTATCCCACCTTCCTCAAAATGATTGCTGAGTGCATCTCGTCACCCCATCTGGCAAGTATTTCGGCACTTCATTAAAGTTGGCGACCTGCCCGCAGATGGGAAAGTAGTTACGGTCATGCCCAACTAAAAGGGGGAACCATCAAGACCCCGCGAACTACCAGCCAATATGCCTGACATCGATCGTGTACAAAACCATGGGATAAATAGTCAAACGCGCCCTTCGGCTACACTGTGAGAACCTATACATTATCTCTCCCGCTCAACATGGCTTCCGGAGGACACGCTCTTGCATCTCTAACCTACTTATTTCAAGAGAAACATGGCCAGGAGCCACAGATGTCCGAAAACAGGCTGAGGTAATCTTCATCGACTTCACTAAAGCCTTTGAAAGAATTCCACACGAACGACTGCTATACAAACTCCATGGAGTTTGCATTACGGGAAATCTCTCATGGATTGCCGATTTCCTAAGAGGTAGGACAATGTGCGTGCAAGTTAGCCAATCCCTCTCAGCTCCTGTGTCTATGACTAATGGTGTTCCTCGAGGATCCGTGCTTGGACCAGAGCATCAACGATCTCCCGACTGTACTTCAGACCGACTGCTTAACCCACACCGATGATCTCAAGCTATGGTCAACAGTAACCAGCCTAGAGAATGTGGACAGGTTGCATGGGGCTTTAGACCAGCTACACCAATGGTCTATCAAGTGGCAACTGCCAGTTAACCGAGACAAATGCACTGTTCTCGCAATGGGTAGCACTGGTCCGTACGGTGAGGATCACATTGGTGGGTTTCTCCTCAGGAATACCACTCACGAGAGAGATCTCGGGGTTATTACGTCTGCTGACCTTCGAACATCGCAGGACACGTTGAAGAAGGTGGCCACTGGAAGGAGACTGGTAGGTATCTTAAGAAGATCATTTGCATGAGTGACTCCGGAGATTTTTCGACCACTGTTCACCTCATACGTCCGTCCAAGTATAGAATATGGCCTACCAGCTATCCATCTTTCAAAGTTTGAATGCGATTTCCTGGAAAAGGTTCAGAGGCGTGCTTCGAAAGCTGTTTTGGGTTTTGTGATTTCCCATACCCCATTCGACTTCAGCAGTTGAATTTGTTCTCCTTGGACTTTTGCCGTCGCTGAGGTGACCTCAACTACACTGGACGCATCCTCAAAAAAATAGGGATTGAGTTACAACAATACTTCCGGCCCAACGATGGCTGTTTCGCACGAGGTCACAAATGGAAGCTGTTTAACTAAAGATGACACCAGCTTTCAGAAAAGCCCGCAGAACTTGCTCATACTTGATGTCATCCACTCGCAAACCCTTTTGTTATACATTGTTACATAATTTTGATCATTTAGACAGCATTCGTTATATTTGTTGGCGGTTTTAATGCTTTTTTTGTTTTCCACACACCGATTACATTCCGGAAGCGGACGAAAATCGGACAGTTGACCTTCCGATGGTGCTATCAAGGTCTGGACCTTTTCGACTAGGGTCTACTTAAGATTAATGGCTGGGAATGCAACTGGCAAACCATACTCTGGAATCGTTTTCCATCTAGCCTGGTCGCTTACTTGGTGGCTGGGATAACGGTACTGAACCACCTACGAACTATTTGCTTTTCTTTTTAGCCCCATCGGTTTCTATCTATAATTTACTCGGCTTTAATTAGACCGCACCTAAAATACTGTCCAAACCTGCCCCTTTGCTTAACATGTACAGGATAACAGTGGAGAAGATTTTGAACATGGGCACCAAGATTGTGCCTGGGCAGAGACGTGTCATATCCCTAGAGGTTACTTAGGCTTTATCTTTCTCCGCCACACTCTCGGCGTCACCCGGGGGATCTGATTCTTACCTATCGCATCTTCTCGGGCCATGTCGGTCCGGACTTAGCTCACTTATCCCGGCTCGATTGCCGACTCTTCGTGTGCATCCAAGAAAGCTGCACAAACCTCAATCCGATAGGATGGGGGCCGATATCCTGTTATCGCGTAGGATGCGGGACTCTTGGAACGTACTGTCCGAGGACGTAGTATTGGCACCGATGGTTAAAAAATTTGGACACCAACTTGATGCCCTCGGTTTGTAGCTGCAACTCTTCCTCTTCACATCTAAGTCTTTATTGTGATTGTCCACATCTATTTTCTTATCTTGATTTCCAATGTCTAGTTCACATTGTGTACTGTTTTATTTCAGCTTCTTTTTCTTTTTTTCTGTTTCCTGTTATCGGAACAACGGGGATGATTGCTGCAGGACACGTAGGCATTGTTTGATTGACCGCGGTGTGTAACGTGCTTGCTAATCCTGCATACACTCGCTAAAACCTATCCCTGATCAACGACACTCACATTGAAGCATCCAAGTGATTGTCCTATTGTTCCTGTTCCGGTTGGACTTGTGACCGACCATGCGTGACGTACGCGGAGGAATCCTGATCTCGGATCGGAACACACGTGTGATGTACGCCTTTTGTTCTCACTGAGTTCGCTCATGAACCACTGGATCTTACTCACGTTAGTCACTTGCTCCTACTAGGAGCATTGCACGTCACACCGTACAGTAGTGTAGCACACCCGGAAGTGTATCTGTAGGAAGCCAACAGGTAAGAAGTCTTCGATCCTAGTCTAGAAGGGATTTGTCGTTTCCTTTTTTGTTTTCCTTTTTTCTGTGTCTCGGAGCAGCCATCTCCCGTTCGTTTTCACATCATCTATCCAGGCACCTCATGAGGTGAGCCTGCAGGCTCGGTCTTCCACCGGCTGTTGTAACAACGGCATCAAGCTGACCATGAGGGGTAAGTCAGACCCCCCATCTGGCTCCGTCTCCTAGGTGGTTGTGATGAGATTATTCAGCCGCATACAAAGTATCTGTTTTGCTTTTTAGCCCTCTCGGTTCAACACCGTCTACGTACGTCCTGGACTCGGAATCCCTTTTCGGACGCATACAACAAGTAGGTGGGACAACTGTCAGCTACTGCAGCAATACGGCAGGTAAAAGGTCGCCGTGCCTAGCCTAGAAGGCCACTGTCGTTTCTTCTCTTTGCTTTCCCATTTCGTTTTCAACGTCTTAGGGCGACCATTTCCCGTTTGTTTCCACGCCGTCCATCCGTTCAGCTCAGGATCAGTCCTCCATGGTCAGCTGTGACAATCAGACGCATGTTCCATCCAGCTCCATTTCTTACTACGTAGTTGCGATGATACTATCCAACCGCCCACAAAGTATACGTTTTGTATTTTAGCCCACGGTCTACTACGACCCACGTACGCATTGGACACGGAGCCCCTCGGAGCGCTCGACCGGACGCATACTACACTACCGAACATCTCAACAACCTACATGATTGTCAGTCGGTGCATTGCAGCTTGGCGCCCGTCTTATTCGAGCGCACATCGACTCTTGTAAGTTCGTTTTTAACTTACACCTCACTTGATAGCCAAGTGTCTCCATCGCATCTGTGTAATACTTCAGTCAATGGTGTTAAATCAGTCGAGAATAACAAGGAAAGCACTCCAGATCTCACCGATGAGTTGAAGACATTACGCTCGGATTTCGAAAAACTGAGGGAGTCTCACTCTCACCTCGAAGATAAGTATAAGCGAGCGTTGGCGGAATCAGAGAACATGCGTGTTCGCCTAACGAAACAAATCGAAGAGGCAAAACTTTTTGGAATTCAAAGTTTCTGCAAAGATCTTCTGGATATAGCAGATGTGCTCACAAAAGCGATGGAGTCTGCCCCGAAAGACCAGTTGGTCAATGATGTTAATCCACCTTTTGTAAGCCTCTATAATGGCCTCAAGATGACTGAACAACAGATACTCAAGGTCAGTGCTTGTGTAACATCTGTCCGATAAGATCTCGTGCTCCATATTTCTATCCTATTCAGATGCATCTTTATTTTCGGATATCATATCCTCTTCTTTTTGGTGTAACGTTATCGTTTCATATTGTTAATATGCTCCGGTTGCTTATATTACCTGTGCTTGGTTGTTTTGATAACTATTTCACCCGGAATTATCGTCTTTTGTACTGTTTACATCCTTGCTTAGGACATACTGAATGGCGTTTCCATTTAACCATTACCTCACTGGATTAATTCGTGAAACGTTTCTTTGCTGTCTCGACGTACACTTGTGTTTTGGTCACTCCGCCTATATGTTATGCTATCCTACTGAAACCCTTTAAGAAAACCTCTCATCTCCCTTTGTTGTGTTTTGTTTGCTGACTTCTGGTTCTTACCGGCATCGGCGTCACGTATTTGGTGCAGGAGGGACGAGTGAATTGCTCAGCGCCGTCATATCACGCACCAGGCTCCGACGGTTGGGTCACATGTTGCACATGTCAACACACCGACTCCCGCGACGTACGTTGTATGTGCGATCGGGGTCTGGATGGGAGAAGAGGAGAGGAGACTAAGCGATGTCTTGATCAAGGAGAATGAAGTCGCTCGCTTCGAACTTGCCGTCGGTTGTTGTCTCCCGACTGCCAGACTGGGGTCCAAAGGATGGTGAACACGTTTGGTTAGGTACACTAGTTGACATGGCGTTTGTCTTGTAGGTTTGTTTGTCCCTCTCCTACCCGCTTGTCTTTCTTCCCAATCATGATCTCACAATGCATGGATAATATGACACTTAGCTTTAAATCACTTGCTTTTTTCATTTTTTTTAATGTTTATTACCTCTCTCTTCATAAATCTTGTCTTTTGTTTCGCGTTACAGTTAGCTGAAGTGATTCTTACCTTCAGCTAATGTGTATTAATGATGATAATGTGCTTACATGAGATGCAAAGGTTTCAAAAGTACACAAAGAAAAGCATTTCAGGGAGATGACCCGAATCTAGTATTTTTCATGTACTCTCATTCAGCCGCTTACATACTGTTAGTGCAGACGGAACGAACTGAAGTGGCAGGTAATTAGTATCAAGGGTCGACAATAAGCTGTCAGTGTGTCTACTAAAAAAACCATGCGCACTGCTAAGGCAGTGCAAGGCTGGCCACAGAGTCAACTTGATTGCATAGATTGGGCCTCCGACACCAGATGACGAAGTCTCAGCGAACTAGAGCAGGTTTGGACTAATTTGTCTGATAATAACCTTGAATGCCTCGCGGTAGTTTTGACATACCGTGCAGTCGAACAGGTGCTGGACAATTGAGCTATCAGGTAACTTCACACCAGTCAATGCTAAGTCCCGGGGGATGTGCTACGAAATCCGGATCGTCATCTTTTTCTCAGTCCAGCCGAAGTACGTACAACTATACGTATTCTAAAGTGAGATAGACGCTAAAGGTGATAACTTGCAACTGAAGCCTGTTGTTAAGCTCTCAGTGCCCGTCAAACAATCATACTGTCAACACACGGAAGGAGGAAAGACGAACGAACACTGAGAATAGTTATATCTCCTTGTAGGAAAGTCCAGAGAGATTGAGCGTAATGCACTAGAAAGGAAAGAGCGTCACAGTCCAGGATAGGGTCAGTGACGAGCTGAAATGGTGGAAAACAGTTTTAGTTACTGATCATAAATATCAACAAAGAGGATGAATTCGTTTGTAGGCAGCCCTCCTAACACCCGTCTAACTTCAAACTGTGCATCAACATGCGGTAGCATGTACTTCGGCCGGACTGAGCGAAGGCTGCCGATCCGTGACCTTAAGGTTCACCAGCCTGCCTTATAATCCCAAGGTAACGGAATTGAGTCTGCGTAGAGGGCCGGGCGACTTCCGCAGTATCCTTAGCTCACGCGCGACTGGTGGGGGCTGCGTGACAGCGGAGCGTCGGTACTGCTTACCGGCGAACTGCGGGTTCCTTTATTCAGCAATACTTTCAGCTGTCATGTCCTAATACTTTGCTTTGTTTGTGCTATCGATTCGTTTATACAACCCACGCTCTTACTTAACACTGACTGACCCAGCCATAGGCTCTTGCATCTGACTGGTTGTAATTCCAAAGGCTACCTATTTGATTGTAACGTGCATATATACAGACAGTTTTCCATACATAAGTTCTGGTCTGTTGCTTTTTCGGAATACAACAACTTGGCGTCGCGTGGTACCCGATGTCATTTCATGCTGCTTCTCCTGCACCGTCCTGGACTGGCCATGCGGTTACCCCAAATGAAGAATGCTGGGAAGGCTGGAAAATCAGTTTTCGGATCATATTTCTGTGCGACCAGTTCTCAATCCATTCGTGACGCTGAAAACGGAGGGTACTTTAAAGCTTTTGCTCTTGTGCCTCAGCTCAGAGGGTTGACGTATATTTGCTGCTCTGAACCTTCGAAAGAAGTCCACCTTAACAGATGCCTTATCGACTTTCGATAAACCTTGGGGCGTTCGAGGGAAGACTTATACATCTCGGTATAATTTTTCGCAGATGAAGCAAGCATCAGCTGAATTAGTGCATGCTTTCCTTTCTCGCCTCGTTTGTTCTGTTCGAAAGTTTGATTAAGATAGTATTCCCAAGAAGAATGTGAAACTATGCTAATACAACAATTGATTTCTGGCCTCGCGTATTCTCGGATCAGACAGAGTCCGTTAATGAAGAACGCAGAAAACCTCACTTGAGACGGCCTGCGACATGGCTCGCGCGAAGGTGGCAGTTATGGAACAGAGAAAACTATTTCTCTCCTACGCAGTAGCTACTGAAATTGACCGTTTGTATTCAACACCATTTCTGACGCGATCCTCAGTTGGAAATAAGTGTTACCATTGTGGAAATACTGAACACCGTGCAAATGATAAATCATGTCCTGTAAAGAGTGCAAACTGCCGGAATTGCGATAAGTCCGCTCATTATGCTCGAGTTTGTCATTTCCGTACCGTTTCTTGTGTTGCTTCTGCAAGTGACTCTAGGGCTTCTCCAGTCACCACTGAACATTCCATATATGGCGTTAGTGAATGCAAGCACCCGCTTCCGTTCCCCATTCAAGAACCCAAACTGCGTTCACCAGACATTCGTTGTTTTTTGCAGTTAGAAACAAAACCATTTGTCTAGACATGGAACTGGATTCCGAGTCTTCAATCACAGTGGGACCATTTTGTGTTTATAAACAGCATTTTGCCCGCTTACACTTTTAGCAGCTACTCAAATTGTGATGTTCACATACTCAGTTTTTTTACGCTTTCGATGTTTTAGAAACATCAGGAAGCGTACAGTTGAAGTTACTTTTTCTAAAACTGCTAGTAAGCCTCTATTGGGACGTAACGCTTTGGTCTTATTGAATTTATCACCATGCATCAGCCGGATGACTGTTGCCAGCATCAACCTTAATCCGTTACGGTCCAATTGCCCAAAACTCTTGCGGAAATTGGTAGAATCACAAAAGCATTGCGCCACATTCGTTTGAGCGCGGATTGCAAGGCGTTTAGCATTTCACAACCTAGGCCTACCTCTGGCCAATCGAGAGGCTTTGTCGCCAGCTTTGAAACAGATGGTCACTGAAGACTTGATAGAGCCTATACCGTGTTTTGAATGGGTTCATCCACTAGTTGCCCTTCGAAGAAAGATGGCTGTATTCGTATATCACCGACCTTCGAGCGCCTAATCGACATATACTTGTGGACAAATTCACTCTGCCTTCCGTCGACGAGTTGATGATTAGTCTTTCAATCGCCAAACTTTTCTCAGCTGGATATTCGCACTGCATATTACCACATGCCACTGACTCCAGTTTGTCGACATTTGACTGCTTTCACCACGCAAGAGGGTTTGTATCAATACAAAGTGCTAGCAATCGGCCTTAGTAGTGCCCCAGCTGCTCGGATGGCAATAGAGCAATAAATTGCTCTATCGCTATCCGATCTCAAAGGATGTGTTGTGTATGTGGACGATATTTGTGCCTTTGGTAATAATTCCACCGAACCTAAGAAAAACCTTCATAATGTGCTGCATAGACTGAATGAACTAAATCTCCGGCTGAATACTAGCAAATGCCAGTTTCCTGTAACAGAGGTAGGGTTTATTGGTCATGATATTTCTACCTCGGATATTAAGCCTAATGTGTAGAACATCAAAGCCATACTCGATTGCCCAAAACTATGCAATATTACACAGATGAAACATTTCTTGGGTTTATGTTCTCATTGCCTTCGACCTTTACCGAATTTCACCACTATTTCCGAGCCGTTGTGGAGGTTGTCGCGCGGAACACAGGCGTTCCGTCACACCACTGAACAAGACGATGCCTACATGATCATACGAGCGATGATCGTATCCACTGCTACAGTAGCAATCTTCAATGAGCACTGCCCAACGTTTGTTTCAATGGATACTTCAGATATTGGTTTGGATGCAGTTCTGTCCCAACTGCACGATGGCAAGGAGAAGGTGATTGCTCTCGCCTCGCATACCCTGTCCGATACTGAAAGAATTTATTCTACCGACGAAAATGAGGCCTTTGCATGTGTCTGGGCGTGTAAGAAACGACACTTTTATTCGGAGGTAGCTTCACTTTGAGCACCGCTCATCCTGCGCTTACAACGCTATTAACTCGCGGTAACTAAGGTCAAAAGTCGGTACCCCTGAATCGCTGATACTCACATTTTTTGTACTACGATTCTGAACTAAAATACATGCCAGGTTACTTTAACCAACTTCCAGTGCCCTGTCAAGACCCACTGTCCAACGAAGGGGAAAACGAGGACTTGGAGGAGGTAAAAATGATAACGACTCTCACGGACGGAACACCTACTATAACATTTGACCTGATACGAGAGCACACTGACAAAGACCCTGTCCTAACGAAGCTTTGGGAATACATATCCACTTAATGGCCCAGTCGTCCTAAGATACAACCCGAGTTACTTCCATACTATTCCATGCGCCTCGTGTT